TCTGTGAGTTGGATGTAGAAGTGTCAGAATCAATATAAATGTTTTTTATTTTAAAGAAAATTCAGATTTTACATAGTAAAAAACTGTAAATTATAGTGTCCGTCCAAAAATTCTTTTTTACTTATAGTGAAAACTACCCTTGGATGATGGTTAGTAGACTAAAAGCTTTAGGAATCCAAAGTACAACATATAATAAGTACCCTGTATGAAGATTGATGCAAAACAAGTGACATTTGACCTTTTTAGAGAGGTTTAGCCAAAACCACTCCACCTCTGAGGTGATTTGGGTGAAAATGTTTTTTTTTTCCATATCTCTGGCCCCCCCTTGGTCGATTTTGATGGTTGACACCTCTTTTTCTGACCGTTAGAGCCAATAGAATCGAAGGGTGAGTCCCCCACACACACACACATGTTGTGAAGAGAAAAGGTGGGGGCTTCACGCATGTAATTTAGCATCAGAGTGGACCTATCTCTAGCTCTGACATTTGGAAACGAAAAAGCAGTTTTATTGCTTATGGATTATCAGAAATCATTTCAAAGAGGACACAGACACATTGGATTAACTGTAGCATCGTTTTTTTATCGTTTTAATGCCATTGAAGACCAGTTTTGACCAAGGTAAGCCATGTTAGCGTTTCTAGCTACCTAGCTCCACATGTTCTGATGTACGCTTCGTTTATAGCATCGCAAATGTTTTATCACTGAGTGTTGAGGTTTTTTACACAGATTCTGTGTCTCCAGGAGATGCTAATCGATGGGTTGGCTGTGCATCTAGGATAAGTAATAAGGGAGTTATGAGTGAGTTTAGGTGCCGTTTTAGGTTACACTTTTTCGCTCGTGGCTAATTCAGAGGCTGAGTGTTAGCATTGTGGGGTTTTTTTGGAGAAAAAAAATGTAAAAGATCAGTTAGCTGAGTTTCTTCCCGTTACATGGACATAAAACATTCATAGTTTATTAAATATTAAGATTCCTTAGACGTTGTTTCCTGCAAATGACGCGTTTATCCGCCCGGTACCGGGGGGGCGGTGCGTAACAGGTAAACAAGAGTGCGTGATGTCACAGCTAGAGTGTAGGAAATCTTGAAATTTGCCTTCATATTTTCTTTTTAAAACTGCCATAATTCCCAAACCCTACATTCCTGAGACATTATTTTTCATGACAAACGTAGGAAAACATCTCGTAGCTTGAAAAATGACAAATAATTAAGCAAAAAAAATTAACCTGTTAAGCACCAAGGCTGTTTTTCATGTTTCAGGCTCGAAATGACATGCCCAAAACAAATGACTACAACTTAACTTCTAAAAGGGTATATGATAATTTCTTTTATCAAAGCAAGGTTACATCTGTGAGTTGGATGTGAAGTCTCAGAATCAATATAGATGTTTTTTATTTTAAAGAAAATTCAGATTTTACATAGTAAAAACCTGTAAATTATAGTGTCCGTCCAAAAATTCTTTTTTACTTATAGTGAAAACTACCCTTGGATGATGGGTTAGTAGACTAAAAGCTTTAGAATCCAAAGTACAACATATAATAAGTACCCTGTATCAAGATTGATGCAAAACAAGTGACATTTGACCTTTTTAGAGAGGTTTAGCCAAAACCACTCCACCTCTGAGGTGATTTGGGTGAAAATGGTTTTTTTCCATATCTCTGGCCCCCCTTGGTCGATTTGGATGGTTGACACCTCTTTCTGACCGTTAGAGCCAATAGAATCGAAGGGGGAGTCCCCCACACACACACGTTGTGAAGAGAAGAGGTGGGGGCTTCGCGCATGTAATTTAGCATCAGAGTGGACCTATCTCTAGCTCTGACATTTGGAAATGAAAAAGCAGTTTTATTGCTTATGGATTATCAGAAATCATTTCAAAGAGGACACAGACACATTGGATTAACCTATGGATTAACTGCAGCATCGTTTTGTTAACGTTTTAATGCCATTGAAAACCAGTTTTGACCAAGGTAAGCCATGTTAGCGTTTCTAGCTACCTAGCTCCACATGTTCTGATGTACGCTTTCGTTTATAGAGTCGCAAATGTTTATCACTGAGTGTTGAGGTTTTTTACACAGATTCTGTGTCTCCAGGAGATGCTAATCGATGGGTTGGCTGTGCATCTAGGATAAGTAATAGGGAGTTATGAGTGAGTTTAGGTGCCGTTTTAAGTTATATTTTTCGCTCGTGGCTAATTCAGAGTTTTTTCCCGTTACATGGATATAAAACATTCATAGTTTATTAAATATTAAGATTACTTAGACGTTGTTTCCTGCAAATGACGCGTTTATATCCCCCGGTACCGGCGGGGCGGTGCGTAACAGGTTAAACAAAATGCCTCTTGTGGGCATGAAGTGACAAAAACTTTCAACATGCCTCCATTAAAGCCCATTGTAATTTCAGGCTGATATTTCCTCACAGTAGCAGCCGCACACCTTTAGTTAAACTGCCAAAAAGGCAACATTATTAACCCGAAAGTACACAAAAATTACACTTCAGATACTCAAGGTCCTTGAGATGCTTCACATTTTCAAATTTCACAGATATCTGTTACGGTTCTTCGACAAACGTTCACATGTAAGAGGTTTATCTCTCATTCAGAACAATGGAAACCTTTGATCTCTGCACACTCGTTAGCTCAAATATAAACACCTGTGTCATGGAACACGATGATGTCATAACACACAGGTGTTCGTGTTTGAGCTAACGACGTGGTCACTGGAGTTTAAACTGACTGTCTGAGCCTATTCTTTTCTGTCTGATGGAGACTTCATACTGACTTCATGTTCCACCTATTTTATACATTATTGGTGACACACAGCTGTCGTCGTTAGCTCAATATAAACACCTGTGTCATGGAACACGATGATGTCACATTGACAGGTTTGGTAACGATGCAGCCATCAACGCATCTAAGCGTATTATGGGGTGTCATCAATGCCGTTGCCATGGCGACAGACCACTCGCCATGAAGCACGATGTCGCTGTAAGTCCAATGGACACGGTCCGATCGTCCCCCAAACTTCGCTTGTATATCACCGGTCCAGCCCTCAACAGCTCTACGTCAATTATGGGGTTTCTTCTTCAAATGCCGTTGCCATGGCAACACAATGCTCGCCATGAAACACGGTTTTCTCATAACTTCAGTGAAAATGCTCCAAATGGCCCAAAACTTCACAGGTTTGCTAACGATGCAGCCATCAACGCATCTAAGCGTATTATGGGATGTCATCAAATGCCGTTGGCATGGCGACAGATCATTCGCCATCAAGTTAGTTCAAAAGTTTGCAGTTCAAATATTCTGCTGCTTTTCCAAGCCTTTTTACTTTCTTTTCTTCTCTCATCACACATTCAAGCCCCCAGTGTTCATGTATCATTTCAATCTAAATTCTTCATTTTCTTCTTACACATTACATTTCAGCATAGCAGTTTAGCGTCAGCTTTTCAGCATAAAGCATTCCCACTAGCAATTTCTTCAGGAATTGCATTCTCTAGTTAAAATAGCAGTGCTTTTGATGAATGGGCTGAACATTTGTAGTGTAGGCTATCTACTATCAGAGACTTGGTTGGATGCTGAGCAAATTCTAGCCCATTGAAAACCTTTGGCAACTCCGGGGCATTACTTGCTGATTTTTTAGTTCATTCTGTAAAATATCTGTGTATGAAAATATATTTTCTTATATCATTCTTGTCAAAAAACATTTTACATTTTACATTCACTTAACCTGTTCCACTCTGAGCCTGTTTTTCAGGTCTCAGGCTCGAAAATGACATTCCCAGAACAAATGACCATATCTTCCCTTCTAAAAGGGTTAAATTAATAATCTTTGTTCTCAAAGTAATGATAAACCTGTGAGTTGGATGTAGAAGTGTCAGAATCAATATAAATGTTTTTTATTTTAAAGAAAATTCAGATTTTACATAGTAAAAAACTGTAAATTATAGTGTCCGTCCAAAAATTCTTTTTTACAGATAGTGAAAACTACCCTTGGATGATGGGTTAGTAGACTAAAAGCTTTAGGAATCCAAAGTACAACATATAATAAGTACCCTGTATCAAGATTGATGCAAAACAAGTGAAATTTGACCTTTTTAGAGAGATTTAGCCAAAAACTGGGCCATCTGGGGTCATTTGGGTGGATTTGACCTATCTCTGGGCCCCCCTTGCTCGATTTGGTTGGTTGACATACCCTTGTGACCGTTAGAGCGGGGAGGCTCCCACCCAGACAGGTTGTAAAGAAAAAATGTGGTTGCTTCGCATGTGGAAAACGAAACCAAACTGGAGGAATGTCTCCTTCTGGAGTTTGGAAACTAAAACGCAGTTGTATTGCTTATGGATTATCAGAAATAATTTCAAAGAAGGCACAGACACATAGGATGAACCTATGGATTAACTGCAGCATCGTTTTTTTTATCGTTTTAATGCCATTGAAGACCACTTTTGACCAAGGTAAGCCATATTTACTGTTTAGCTTCTTAGCTCCACATGTGATGATGTACGCTTTCGTTTAGAGCGTCGCGAATGTTTATCACTGAGTGTTGAGGAGGGCACCGGTAGATTCAGTGTCTCCAGGACACCAAAAAAGTGGTTGGTTGTGCATCTAGGATAAGTAATAGGGAGTTAGAGTGAGTTTAGTTGCCTTAGTATGTTACATTTTTTCGCTCTTGGCTAATTCAGAGGCTGAGTGTTAGCATTGTGGGTTTTTTTTGGAAAAAAAAATTAAAAAGATCAGTTAGCTGAGTTTCTTCTTCCACATGGATATAAAACATTCATAGTTTATTAATATTAAGATTCCTTAGACGTTGTTTCCTGCAAATGACGCGTTTATCCGCCCGGTACCGGGGGGAAGGTGTGAAACAGGTTAAAGAAAAGCATTTAGATAAGGAGAAAATATGTTGCCAGTGACAAAAAGATACCAAAGTTATCTTTCCAAGAAATGTTTACAGTGAGCAGAATAAAAGCAGAGCAAAGTCAAAAGGGCCACTAAGAATGTGAGTGTCTTACTTCAGAGGTGTGCGCTGATGTGCTGCTCCAGCATGCTGCTGAGAGCCGACCTCAGGTGGTGGAGTCTGCGGTCAAACGTGTAGATGCCGTGACCCAAAGCATGGCTGCCAAATGAACATACCTGCAGAGAGAAGGCTGGTTGTAAATCTGTTGCAGGCAGGTGAGTTAACCTCCAAGAGAACACCTTGAAGATGAAATAGCGTTGCACAATCACCCTCTATCCACCTAATAAATCAATACATGTGGTATGTGCTTGTCTTTAATATTGTTAAACCCAAGTACAAACGGCTCACCGCTAGAGGTCTGGGATGTGCAGCAGAAGATGGGAACCCAACGGGCTCCTCGGGTCCCTCTGCCTCACTTTCATCACTGGAGATTTTTCCATGAACCAGAGGTGAGGGGGCTCGGACCCCCCCCTCGTACTGTTGCTCATCCTCCGTGTTGCTCTCCGACACAGATGAAGGCCGACTGTAAAACACACATCCTTTTTTTTTTTTTTTTGGTTCCACAAAATTATATTTTACTATAATCAACAATATCATTTTTCTAACTGACTAAGTGCTCTCACTTAGCACCACCTCTAAGCCCCCTTCCCAAAGGACTCAGTGTGATCTTATTGGCTGGTGAGAAAAATTGCAAGTAGCTGCACAATATGAGTATATGTGTGTGTGCAGAAAAGTGTTGCAATTGTAAACGCGAGTTAAATATTTGTTAGTTTTGATCAAATTCATATGAATTGTGATGTGCCTCCATACACACATCTCTATCCGAGCTGGCGTCAGTAAAGTTCACTAACCTGAACGCAGGGGCTGGCCAGGGGTCTCCTGCAGTGTGGGGCCCCCGCCTGTTCCATGGGGCCTCTGGGCTGGGGGAGCGTCCAGCAGACGAGTTTCCATCCAGGGATTGGGCCCCTTTTTCACGGACCTTGGTCTTCAGTTCTGCCACTAACTGGTCAAAGTTCTTGCTGCGCCCCATCACTTTCCTCCGCTGGTGGATGGAGTGAATCTGAGGACAGAGGAACAGCAGGTCAGTCACTGCTGCATTTCAAATAAACGGACACAACTTGTATTTGGTGAAGGACCCAAAATTATGGATTTCTCGACTTTTTGGGTAATTGCTGTTGTTGTTGTAGTATATCCTTCTAATAATAATAATAATAATAATAATAATAATAATAATAATAATATAATAATAATGCATTTATTTATAGAGCGCTTTTCTTGAAACTCAAAGACACTTAACAGAGTAAAAATTCATAAAAACATAATTAAAACACACTGAAAATATATAAAACACAACATTAATTACAGATTAAAACTAGTTCTGAAGAGGTGAGTTTTGATTTGTGATTTGAACAAGGTGAGATCGGGGCAGTCACGGGTGTGTTTGGGGAGTGAGTTCCAGAGGGAGGGGGCAGCGACGGAGAAGGGTATGTCCCCCCAGGTTCGGTGCTTGGTCCTATGAGGGAAAGACAGGAGGTTGGGGTCTGAGGGGCGGAGGCTGTGGGTAGGAGTGTGGTGATTAGGGTTGCAAAGCGGCGGAACATTTCCAGTAAATGTACGGTAAGTTTCCGGTAAATTTCCATGGGAAGTTAAGCTGGGGAATTTTGGAAATATTCCATATTGGAAACTTTCCATGGGAATAATGGGATTTATGGAATGTATGGGAACTAACTGGGAATTGAGGGTAATGTAATCGAATTGTATCATTTTATTTTTTTTAATGAGCCGTTCCGACTGATTTCGATAGAGCGGGTAACATATGAGCACAGCCCTCTGTGGATGTCAGCATGAGCAAGAGAAAGGTATCTGAGGAAAATCGTGTTTTCCAAGAAAATTGGGAGAAAGAATATCTTTTCACTGAATTCAGGGGTAAACCACAATGTTGAGTATGTTTGCAGACCGTTGCTGTAATGAAAGTAAGCAACTTGAGCCGCCACTACTACTAATGTGTGTGTGTGTTCCAAGTGAATCTGCATAAATAATAATAAGTACATAAATGATGTGGCCCCCACCACCATCCAAGTTGCCCATCCCTGCTGTAGGGGGTGTGGTCTCAATAGCCATGCAGTAAGCAGTGTGCATGTGATTGAGGAATGGCATGGATATTCAAGTGTACTTGAATGGCATCCGTTTGTTTTAGTCAAGATTATGCTAAAATATACTTTCCCCAACTATATTTAAGTTCCCTATGAAGAGCCAACCTTCAATTTAGAAAATTCCCAGTTTATTCCCGTTTATTCCCATAAATTCCTGTTTATTCCCATGGAAAGTTTCCATCTTTGAAAATTCCCGTAATTTTGCAACCCTAGTGGTGATGGAGCAGGTCAGTGAGGGAGGAGGGGAACTGGTGATGGAGCAGGTCAGTGAGGTATGATTGGGGCCTGGTGATGGAGCAGGTCAGTGAGGGAGGGGAACTGGTGAAGGAGCAGGTCAGTGAGGTATGATTAGGGCCTGGTGATGGAGCAGGTCAGTGAGGGAGGAGGGGGCCTGGTGATGGAGCAGGTCAATGAAGGAGGGGGGGGCCTGGTGATGGAGCAGGTCAGTGAGGTATGATTGGGGCCTGGTGATGGAGCAGGTCAGTGAGGGAGGAGGGGGCCTGGTGATGGAGCAGGTCAATGAAGGAGGAGGGGGCCTGGTGATGGAGCAGGTCAGTGAGGTATGATTGGGGCCTGGTGATGGAGCAGGTCGGTGAGGTAGGAGGGGGCCTGGTGATGGAGCAGGTCAGTGAGGTATGATTGGGGCCTGGTGATGGAGCAGGTCAGTGAGGTATGATTGGGGCCTGGTGATGGAGCAGGTCGGTGAGGTAGGAGGGGGCCTGGTGATGGAGCAGGTCAGTGAGGTATGAGGGGGCCTGGTGATGGAGCAGGTCAGTGAGGTATGAGGGGGCCTGGTGATGGAGCAGGTCAGTGAGGTATGAGGGGGCCTGGTGATGGAGCAGGTCAGTGAGGTATGATTGGGGCCTGGTGATGGAGCAGGTCGGTGAGGTATGAGGGGGTCTGGTGATGCAGCAGGTCAGTGAGGGAGGAGGGGGCCTGGTGATGGAGCAGGTCAGTGAGATATGATTGGGGCCTGGTGATGGAGCAGGTCGGTGAGGTTGGAGGGGGCCTGGTGATGGAGCAGGTCGGTGAGGTAGGAGGGGCCTGGTGATGGAGCAGGTCAGTGAGGTATGATTGGGGCCTGGTGATGGAGCAGGTCGGTGAGGTATGAGGGGGTCTGGTGATGGAGCAGGTCAGTGAGGGAGGAGGGGGCCTGGTGATGGAGCAGGTCAGTGAGGGAGGAGGGGGCCTGGTGATGGAGCAGGTCAGTGAGGTATGATTGGAGCCTGGTGATGGAGCAGGTCGGTGAGGTAGGAGGGGGCCTGGTGATGGAGCAGGTCGGTGAGGTAGGAGGGGGCCTGGTGATGGAGGGCTTTGTAGGTAAGCAGAAGGATCTTGAAATGGATGTGTTGTGGGACGGGGAGCCAGTGGAGGTCTGCAGGGCGGGGGGATGTGGTCACGGAGCGGGTGAGGGTCGGGAGGCAGAGTTCTGAATGTACTGGAGTTTATTGAGGAGTCAGGATGTGTACCATAGAGGATGCTGTTGCAGTAGTCTAGTCTGGATGAGATGAAGACATGGATGAGCAGAGAAGGAGAGTGATGGGTGGAGACGGGATATATTTTTGAGATGGAAGAAGACAGTTTTGGTGATGTGCTTGATATGGTTTTCAAAGGAGAGGTTGCTGTCGAAAATGACTCTGAGGTTGCGGATGGGAGGGGTCAGAGTGGAATTGTCAATGGTGAGGGAGATGTCGTTATTGTTTTTGGTGAGGGATTTGGGACCGATGATGACCATTTCAGATTTATCACAGTTCAGTTTGAGGAAGTTGTTTTGCATCCAGGATCATATTTCAGTGAGACAGATGGTGAGAGTTGAAAGAGTTGAAGTGGTTCTGGATTTTGTTGAGATGTTAAGTTGGACATCGTTCTGAATAAATACTACCCATATCATAAGCTTCATAAAAGTGGTGGCAGCTTTTTATTTAGACACAGCTGTGTGATGTTTTCAGATAAATTAAGCTATTCCAGATTTGACAAACAGGAGTAGATATGAATAAGTCTTTAAACAGTTGAACATCAATTAGACTATCTATTCATTTCAAAAAAACTGATTGAAGGTGTATTCTGTTAAATGACAACATAAATGTGACCATCACACATTAGGAGAATTACAGCTGATGTATCTTAGCTGCTCATTTTCCAAAAACACCTAAAGTTTGAAATCTATTTCTTAAAGATTTCATGCGTCTGACCACTGGTCCTTTGGTTGTTTTGGAAAGAGTCTCGGGTACTTTGCTATAGGAATTATTATTTTTTGATTGCATTACACTCATGTAGGTTTATCATGCAGCACTGTCCATTAGTAACTTTTGCTGTTATCTTTAAATGCGTCAGTTTCATTTCAATAATTTTAGATGAATAGTTTTAAGGATTACATGACATATGTTCTTCCTAGCAGGTGGAAGAATCCACCTTCAGAGCAGGTAGAGATGCAGGTTGTTCTCCTGCGTATCTTTCCCGTCACTCCTGTCACTTCCTGTTTATCGGGTCGTCCTGTCTGGATGTGGCCTCTCACACTCACTTCCTCCCTCACCATATAAGGACTCTTCCTGTGCATTTTCACCATTCAGTATCAGTCAGTGCTCACTAGTAACGAGAGGTGACTGCAGTGTAATTCATTTGAAAGAATCCACTCTTTTTGTCACTGTAAATGGCGAATTTCTTAAATGCAGAACTTGATCATTTGTCACTTGTTAAAGATATCTTACAATGAGCTCACACTGCTTGATGTGCAATTGGATACACAGGTTCTGTGATTCTCTGACAGGTTATCAACTCCGATGTGATATCAAAATTGTCAATGCGACTTTTAAAACAGTGATACCAATACACTTGTTCCCTGTGCAACACTGTTACACTTGCCAAAGCAGCTATTGTTGAATACTAGATTTGGTTATTGATAGGACAACAAACATCCACCTTACAGTAAATCACTTCGGGGATTTACTACTGCATCATCATGAAAACACAAATCTTGTCACAAGGTCACATTTCTTACAATAGGGTTAATTAGGGGTATTTCTGATCAAATACCAATATTGCTTGTATATGATCTGCATATTATACATTTTTCAGATTAAATTACTTTAAATACCGTGTGAATGCCTCAAAAATGTAATAATTAAATGACTTTGGCAAGACCTCGACAAACTACAATGGCACAAGTGGATAGATCCAGTCCCATGGAGAACAACGCCCCTCCATTTACCATCAGATGAACACAAGAGTGCACTATAAAGACAACTTTGGTGCAAACCGACCAGATACCATGTGAAATGCACCATGTTTTGATTAATTTGAGATTCAATAGTAATGTTAAAGCTTTACTTAACCCGGCAAGCCCGGTAACAGTGCACATACATCAACACTTTACAGTAGTTTCCACTTCAATAAGAAGGTTCCAGACTGCAAACACAGGGATGAATTCATGGGAAACTTGAATGAGTGCACACAAGATCGCTGAATGAATACTTAGATGAGCAGAAGTGATGTGTAATTATGCTATAGGAGAATTTGCAGCCACGTGTGAAACGGTACCACCCTCATCCTAACACCAACTAATGGAATGCATTCAGAAAACACTGATCATCCCATACTCATAGAGTTCACCACATTAGAAGCATCTCTGACCAGAAGCACTGTCGCTGTTCTGCAACACCTCCATACTAACAAGTCATGATTCTTTGTACAGTCATTATTCACACATTCGTTTATCACCCTGTTCGTCTAAGAAAATGAGTTAACTAAAATGTTGGTCTTCTATAAAGAAAAACAATAGTCATACAATAAAATCCTATTGGCTGATATGAGACAATATGAAACAAATATATCAGTGCATCCTTTGACTGGGACCTAACAAGCATGACTAACAAAAACAAATACATGTAAATAAAGTGACACCCTACTTAGAAAAATCACACCCAGAAGGGGTCAAAATACCATGGAACTGCCATCAATACATTCTGCTGCTGTACTGCTGTCTGTCTGACGTCCTGCTATTGAATAAAGAATCTGCATTGCATTTCACATTGTATGTGCCTCCATCTATCACATCATCTCTACCATAGAATTGATAAAGGTACAGTTCCAAAATATTATCCAACTTGTTGGCTGTTGTCTGAGCACTGAAGAGACCACAAACTCACAACCTACTTTTCCACTGTCATGTGTACGGACTGGGTCAAAATCAAAGGTGATAGGACTGGATCCTGAAATTAATCCTCTCAACCTTCTACTGAACTACACAGAGAAAATAGAGAAAAACAGATAAACAATTTAAAACAAGAAAAAGAGAGGAATGAGACAGAAAAATGAATGTGAGGCACATGAAGTAGTGCATTGGTGTGGTGAGGCACAGTGTGTTTGGAGCTCACATTGCATGTCAGGAGGCGGGTGCAGACCTTCTTCCTGTCGGGGTCAAGGACGCCGCAGTGTTTGTCCAGGTCACACTCCCTCTCTGAGGAAACACACAGCATCTCAGATACAGCACCACACAGTGAGCAACACACACTCCAAATCTCTGCAGCTTACATAGTGACATGTGGGGTAAAGTGATGACATACAACACCCAAAAACAGATGTCCACAGATTGTATACATATTCACCAGAATGTGTTCTCCAAGCTGGAATTCCAGTGTTTTCAACCAATTGACAGACTGTATATTCTGGAAGCATTTCCGTGCTTTTTAGTGGACCGTCAGCAAAGATGCAGTTTTAGTTTAATTTAATACATTGATATAACACAAGCCGCATCATGGTGTGCATTTCAGGCGCGCTTTACACACGTGAGCAAAACCAGAGATGTCTTTTTAGAGGCAGTTCTGTTTTCTTCTGTATTATGTGCATTTCTACAGTATGAATAGGCTGCCAAACATGAGTGCATACTGTCCCTGAGACAAATCCAGAAAACTGAAGCTGCTGTAATTAAGTGATGCTTTGAGCTGCAATGATTAGTCTATCAACAAATGAACTATTTTGATAATAGATTAGATATTAAATATTTTTTCATGCAAAATTGGGAGATTTCCTGCTTTTCTCAGTTTTTTTTAATCAAAATTATCTGAATATCTTTGGGTTTTGGACTGCCAAAAACACTTAAAGACATCACCATGAACTTTGAGAAACTGGGATTTTACAAAGTAACCTATAGAAAAATTGATAATGAAAATAGTTGTTAGTTGAAGCTCTTATCATAATTTCCCATACACATCATGGGTATACTAGCAGAGTTGGGTGTAACGTGTTACAAAGTAACGCGTTACTGTAATAATATTACTTTTGTCGGTAACGGAGTAGTGTAATCGTTACTTTTATAATTCAGTAATCACACTACAGTTACTAACATTGCCCCGACACGCGTTACTTCGTTACTTTTATAAAATCAGTCATAATCACACTGACAGACAAGAGGGGTTTCCGCCGCAGGTTTATATGTACGTAATCTGCGCGACTTGCGCGTCCACATACCCACGTGCAGTGCTGCATAAACATGGCTGAGTCAGCGATAACTTTCGAGGGGTGGAGGTATGCCCATTATTTTGAGTTCGTCCGAAGAATAGACAGGAATGTGACGGTGAGGTGCAAACTGTGTCCAGGCCAGAAGCTGTTATCCACTGCTGTAAACACCACGTCAAACCTCAACAAACACCTGCAAAGAACACATGCTAAGGTGAAGCTAATAGCTAAGGACCCCCGAACCCAGAGTGAGGATGTTGTGAGTCGCCGCCGCCGACTCCGAAGCAGCACAAATGAGAATTTGGAGGACCGGTAACCAAAGCAGAGATGGACAGGCTTGTAGCATCCTTCATAGTAGAGGTAATGTTGCCCATTTGCACAGTGGAATCACCATCGCATCGTTCAGAGATATACTGCGCAAAATACAGATAGCAGGAGACAGAGGACAGCCATAGTCAGAGCTATCTGGATCAGTCTTATGCGACAATTGGAAACTGAACTAAAGAGAACATTTGAAACTTTAGCAGTCTGCGTGATCTGCCTGCAGGGAGGGGCGGGCCGGCCCTGCGAGTAAAGTAACGAGTAAAGTAACGAGTAAAGTAACGAGTAAAGTAACGAGTAAAGTAAAGTAGTAACGAGTAAAGTAACGAGTTACGAAGTAGTGTAATATATTACTTTTTTTAAAAAGTAATATGTAATTGTTATATTACTTTTTTTTAGTAACGACCCCATCTCTGTATACTAGTATAATGTGTTTCTGACAGACGATGACAAGTTGGGAAAACATACACTCTGCATGGTACAGGCAAGCACCCATTCCTGGTATATTACCTTTAAACATGGACAGCACAATTTCATTGTGAACTGCTTTAAAGTTATTATACCAACTTCCTTCCCCTTAAAGATTTTCTGTGTGTTTCTAAGAAATAGAACTTTGATTGTTTAGCAGGTAAAAATCATCAGTAGTTCAAACTGAAGGAGAAGCATACATCCTTCAACTGTTACTCCGCCCACATCACCCAAACGGCTCCACCTGTACTCACTGGAGGCCACTTTGTTGTAGGGTCTGGGGACCCGGTGGTTTGGAATTCCCGAGTTCTGGGGGGAGTCCTTCTTCTGGTTCTGGGTGGGGGACCTATCACTGGGTGGAGGCCTACCAGGTGGGGGGGTGCCTCCATGCGGCCAGGGCGGATCTCTGAGTGATGGCGGGGGGGAGCTTATAGGAGGTTCCAGAGGCGGAGGCTGCTTGAACACTGGGGACTCTGTGTGGCTGCTGTGGGAGGGCTTCTCCAGCGGGGAATGTCTGCGTCAGGGAGGGGGAAGTCCAAAGTTAGTTTTTTAAGCTGAACTTTTACCATCACTGGCAAACATTTTTACTAAAATCTACTTTTAAGAGTAAATGTTATCCCAATCATTTTCTGTAAGGTGGTGTGGGAGAATAAATACTTCAACGTTTGAATCTAAAGCTGAAAAAGCACCTGCCTGTCTAAAGACAGTGAATACATGTCTGAAGCTTCCATGTGTCATAATAACGGTGAGTTTTAAACAACATTTTTAATAAAGACTAAAAAAAACGTTATCACGCTAAACATTAGCCACCGTAATATTGTCGGTGTTGATGCGCAACCACGTGACCTCAGTGTTGTGTGTTTTGACCTTTTAAGTTCTGGCAATTGTACTGTATGCTTAAAAAAAATCATAAATTGGTGTTAATATGATTGATTGATTATCCTGCCAACTAAATGTGTAGGTATCGTAAACGTGTCTAACACAAATCTTATTTTCTGCAAAATTCCAAAACCCATTGCAGATACTCTATTGCTTCCTGTGAAGGAATCCCTTGCCATGCCAACGTTTGGGCCGGCCTACAATAATGTCATCACTTCACTGCTCTATATTTCATATTTTAGTGGGAATGCTGTATCAGCAAAATAACCCGGCGGAATAATAAAGAATTTCGTGCGTCGAAGAACAAGTAGTAGGAATGCTGTATAGCATTCCCACTACTTGTTCTTCGACGCACAAAATTCTTTATATTATTTTGCGCCTCTTCTGCTCCGACATTCCACATCGCAGAAACTCCGTTCAAACATCAAAACGTTCAGCTCTGTCGGGAATCGATGGCTATTACTTTTCTCATTCATAAACTTTCATAATTCCAGAGATATATCCCATAATTCATCATCATCACATTTTTTAACATGGAAGTCAATGGAGAAACTCTTCAGACATGAAAAATCTTCATGCGACTTCAACTGCTAACTGCTTCTTCATACTTTCACTCAGAAACCTCCTTCCAACTTTAAAGTGTCACACATCTTTCTGACATTATTCATGTAACACAACTTTTAAATCTGATTCTTACTTTTAGAGATATTAAACATTGTTCAGACCTTGGTAAAGAGGCCTTCTTCAGATTTTAGAGTGTGTGATGTCACAGCTAGAGTGGAGGACAGATTTAATTTTGCCTTCATATTTTCTTTTAAACCTGCCATAATTCCCAAACCCTACATTCCTGAGACATAATTTTTCATGACAAACGTAGGAAAACATCTCGTAGCTTGAAAAATAAAAAAAGATTAAGCAAAATAATTAAACAAAATGCCTCTTGAGGGCATGAAGTGACAAAAACTTTCAACATGTCTCCATTAAACACCATTAGCCGCGTTCACACCGGAGTACTTTTCACCGTACTTTTCGCTTCGCGTTTAGTTCCGTTAGTACCCCTTATGTCGCGTTCACACCAAAAAGAGCACTTAATCTCGGGAACTTTTACCCCCATTTTTAGTGCCTGCTGAGAGATGGTACTTTCCTGGGGGAAAAAAGTGCCCCAGTTCCGATTGGCTGGGCGAATTGCAAACCACGCCCCGTACAACTCTGAAATGAGAGCCGTTATTTTATTATCCTGGCATTAGCATTATTAGCATTAGCATTCGCCCAGTGCACAAACGCAGAGAGACTAATTTATGGCAACACAAAATAAAACATGGGAGCGGTGGAGATGAGGAGGTGTCGGCGTTCCGGCGATTTACTCGGAAGGCTTCAGTAGAAGCTGCTGGAAGTCCCAGCAGCTTCAACTGAAGCCAGTCCCCAACTCCGGGGACTTCCGGCCGGGGACTCCGGGTGGCAGTATACGCCGTGAAGTTGTTTGCGGCTTGCCAGTAAACCCAAAGCAGAAGAAAACGAAGTGACGTCAGCGGCTCATTTGCGTAATCTTCCCTCAGGGAAAAGTACTCCGGTGTGAACGCGATCTGTACTAAATGCCCTGGGGTAATAAGTGCCGGGGCACTGAGTGCCGGCACTAAATACGGCAAAGTACTTGGTGTGAACGCGCCTAATGTAAGTTCAGCCTCATCTTTCCCCACCACAGCAGCCGCACACCTTTAGTTAATCTGCCAAAAAGGCCACATTATTAACCCGAAAGTACACAAAAAGTACACTTCAGATGCTCAAGTTCCTTGACATGCTTCACGCTTTGAAATTTCACCGATATCTGTTACGGTTCTTCAACAAAACGTTCACATGTAAGAGGTTTATCTCTCATTCAGAACAATGAAAATGCTCTCCTCTCACTGATTACTGCACATCACCATGGAAACCTTTGATCTCTGGACACGTCGTTAGCTCAATAAACACCTGTGTCATGGAACACGATGATGTCATAACTCCAACTGACATGCTCAGAGCAGCAGATTTCAGATAATGGTTAACACAGCTCTACATCAAATCTGATGTGACGTAATGTGGTGTTACTATGGCAACGCATCCCTCGCCATAAAACAGCAGCAGACTTCAGATAATGGTTAATGGTCCTGCCCTCAACAGCTCTACGTCAATTATGGGGTGTCTTCATATGCCGTTTCCATGGAAATGCATCCCTCGCCATAAAACACGATGTCGCTGTAACTCCAATGGACACGGTCCGATCGTCCCCCAAACTTCGCTTGTATATCACCGGTGCATGCCTCAACAGCTTTACGCCAAATCTGAGATCTCACCATAGGCTGTTGCCATGGAAACGCATCCCTCGCCATAAAACACGATGTCGCTGTAGCTCCAATGGACACGGTCCGGTCGTCCCACAATCTTCACCTGTATATCACCTCTCCATGCCTCAACAGCTCTACGTCAAATCTGACATCTCACCATATGCCGTTTCCATGGAAACGCCTCGCCTCGCCATAAAACATGATGTTGTCGTAACGCCTATGAAAAGGGTTAAAACAGCACCAGACTTCAGATAATGGTTAACGGTCCAGCCCTCAACAGCTCTACGTCAATTATGGGGTGTTATCATATGCCGTTTCCATGGAAACGCATCCCTCGCCATAAAAGACGATGTCGCTATAACTCCTATGAAAATGTTCAAAACGTGCTCAAACTTCACTTCACATGTGTGCTAAGAGTCCAGCCGTGAAGACATCTACGGGACAGTTTTGAGATTTCTTCAATTGCCATTGCCATGGCAACACAATGCTCACCATGAAACACGGTTTTCTCATAACTTCAGTGAAAATGCTCCAAACGGCACAAAACTTCATAGGTTTGGTAACGATGCAGCCATCAACGCATCTAAGCGTATTATGGGATGTCATCAAATGCCGTTGGCATGGCGACAGATCATTCGCCATCAAGTTAGTTCAAAAGTTTGCAGTTCAAATATTCTGCTGCTTTTCCAAGCCTTTTTACTTTATTTTTCTTCTCTCATCACACATTCAAGCCCCCAGTGTTCATGTATCATTTCAATCTAAATTCTTCACTTTCTTCTTACACATTACATTTCAGCATAGCAGTTTAGCGTCAGATTTTCAGCATAAAGCATTCCCACTAGCAATTTCTTCAGGAATTGCATTCTCTAGTCTAGTTTATCTTGTTTTTCAAAAAAATGACTTTCCCTGTAGGGCTGTACCCGAATATCCGAATATTCGTTCGTTGGAGTACTATTCGGGTTTCAATTTCGTTTTCGGATATTCGTTTTTTTGTTTTTTTCCCCCGTTTTTTTCTCCAAATTGAATTTATTGAAATCTCCAATATCAACGTAAGAGCTTGTGCCTCTTCGGGGGGTGTTAACACTTAACCATAAACGTTATCGTTTACTTTCTCCGTCTTTATATATAGATATTACTTTTCTCCGTTAATCTCCGTCACGTTGTTTCCAAAGCAACAACAACAACTTCCTGTCAACTGCGCTAACTCTCCTTCAAAATAAAAGCATGTCCATAAATAGGAAGCCAAGCCAAATTACACTTAAGACATATACAACTGCAACGAAAGTAACAAACACAATGCGATATCCTTTTCAATTTCAAAGAACACAAATTGGGTTACATTAACAAATAACTATAAAACAACAATACTGTAGAATAACAAAATGAATGCCGTGAATACACCGAAATACACGTGTTGAAGCGGTTCGCTGCTGATTACGACGCCCCCCCGTGCGGGCCGAATATTCGCTGCTGATTACTACCGAATATCCGGAGCACGAAAAATGGTATTCGGGACAGCCCTATTTCCCTGTTATGTTAGTGTTTGAGGTTCATTTGCAGTTAATACATTCTTTACTTTGTGCGATACAACTGGCTAGACTGTAATTCCAATGCAAATCAGTTTTAATTGCAAACTGATCGCGCTACAGAATCAAAATCTTGGTGGTGTATTGATAGCCTCAGTTGCAGACCATTACATTTGAACAAACTTAAATGACACGCAGCCACATTTGGCTGTAATGATCCCAAATTGGCTTAGATAACAAACCAAAGAGTAAAAAACTGGTTGTGGTTTCACTGTGGTTGTGTGCAGGTCTTCCTGATGGAGGTTCCTGTTTCTGACACATACTCCCCCAAAAACGACACCTTGTTCTTACATTTGGTTTTAGAGTGAAAAAAACTTGTTCTCTATTTTGTGTGAAGGTCTATTCTGTGAACCCTGAAGTTAAGTTATCCCCGACCCCCCAACTTGCCCCACTCTGTTCTTACCGTACTCCATCCTTGGGGTTCTTGGAGTGTCTGTATTGTGGTGGAGTGGAAGGTGAGGGGGGGGCTGGCTTTGGCTGCCCGGCCCCCTGGCCACGACTCTCCCAGGATGAAGCGGAAGCAGCGTTGGTCCCATGAGAAGGAGAATGGCCGTGGTGGGGCCTCTGCTGGGGTGGGGGTGCAGGGGTGGGGGAGCGCAGCCGGGCATACAGCTTGGCCAGGGGGCCATGTCGTCGCTCACAGTGCTTCTCGAACGCCTGCGGCTTCACTACTTGGCCACAATGGCTGCACACCACCAGGTAGAAGTCATCATGGCCGGGGTATAGGCCGAAGATGGACATGTCTTATAGAGAGGAGAGAGACATACTTATCTCACTGCCAAATGTCACATAGCAATGTCACGAAGCAGCCCAGTATCATCCTGCATTATGAAAAGGTGTTAGATCTTCTCACTTAAAAGCACTGTCAGAGTTGAACTACACTGGTTGAATATAGCATTGAAAATCAGTATTCTGATGGTAAACGCCATTTGGTAACAATACAGTGTCTCCAACTTCTTGGATTCTGACATCAACTTGGAATTACTTCTAGACATCTACAATAATTTATATTTGTACCTTTAATAAATAAATAGAACTGACACATTTTTTATAACATGCCATTTACTAGGTAAATGTATTGGCTGGAAACAGATCTACACTGGATTGTGTTTTTGTTCTTGCGCAGAGGGTTTTCTCAACATCCTAAATTGACTTCACTTAATCCAAGCACCTTCAGGCCTTGTCAATAGGTGACTAATTTGCCTGCAACTGTGAATGTTTGCCTGTATATGTACGTATTGGTCGGCATGTGATAGACCAGCGACCTATCTAGGATGCAACCCACCTCTTGTCCATGTGTTAAAAGAACATTTTAGATGATCTTTTAAGTTGGGTTGTCAGATTCTAAATAAAGAAAACACTTCAAACTGATGTTGATTTTTTTATGTGGGCTTTTCTTTAGGTGACTAAAATACGTTTTGCTGCTGCAGCAGTTAATTGCTTAGCCTCCATGAGCGGGATGTCAGAACTCCGAGTCCTTTCTGCCTTTCAAAAAAAAGGGGCGTTCCGACCGTCTTTTCTACAGACTCTGGATAAGTACCTCTACAATGCAATCCCACTTTATAAAACACAGAACTATACTCTATCGGAAGAAGCAGGTTAAAGCTATTATAACATGTATGGAGATGATCTTGCATAGTATGCATTTCCCGAAGAAACATGAACTAAAAAAAATCACTAAAAATAAGTACATTTAGTCAGGGGAAAAAAACTAAAAGAAAAAAGCATTAAATTATAAATGTATAATTTAAGCAAATGTTTGGATCCTGGTTCAAACATCACCTTGTTTTGGCTTGTATTTCCATGTGATGTAAATGCAAAGTTTGTGAAAAGGTGCACAGGCTTAAACGTACTATCAAGTAACTTCTTTTTTTCATGCTCTGAGATGAACACACACAAAGTGTCTGTCGGAGGTTCTGTAGGACAGCTGTGTAACACACAGCCCGGCAAGCTTTTTTGCTCGCCCTGGTCCTGCAAACCAGAACCTCTTCTGCCTCTAGGCAGGGGTGGAGACCAAAGAGAGGCTGAGGCACAGTTCATTGAGGCATCCCAGGTCAATGTACATGCACATTAATGCAAGCACATTCACAACTAGACCAGGAGTTAATGTTATTGTTTTCAGATGTCCCAAACAACAACAGCGTAATGTGTGGTAGATTAAAGTGTGCAGACTTACCCTCCTTACTGAGTGACATGGCCTCTGCAGCTTTTTTGCCATTCTTGCTGCAGTCACCTACATCAGTGCCTGAAACATCACACATAACAAAGAGACAGATGTTTTCCAAAAGTTGTATGACAGGATCATCAGCAAGACAAACCTAACAGCACACATTCTGCACATAACAGGCCCCTTACACTGGGTTACATTGTGCAGGTAAACTGCTTCCCTGCTGACCCTTCTGTTGATTTCGTTTTCAAACAGCAATCAGTAGCTTCAAGTGTTTTGGGATGGAGGGAGACTTTATTTGAGTTGTGAACAAAGTAACACTTTGAGGGATGCCAGACAATGAATGAGCGTACACACTCCAAGATGGGGAGAGCAGGAGACCCTTTAGGGCAAAAGTCAAACATACGAGAGTTCCTGTCGCATACACACAATTAACATGAGTTAAATTGAGGCTGGGGGGGGCTGGCAATCACAGGAGAACACTGTTCTGAAGCGAAAGAACACAGAGTAACGTTAACTCATATCAAATGCATCCTCCGTCACCGGTGTCTACTCTCAACACTGCTGCTGCTAGCATTAGCAGGCTAACGCTAACTGCCTTGTCGCTAGTCTGGCTCGCTAGCTAGCTCTCCACGGGAAGAAGTTGTTCGCCCAACCATCTACTCTAGCCTCCTTCCGCTGTGATGCCACCGCTGCCCGGCTGCTTTCACGAACATGAAAACCCCAATAAAGGCTGGCAGCTTGTGTCATGGGCACCGCTTTAAAGCACACACTATAATGGCTCTATCTTAACAAGCATCACTTGTTTTTTCTTGAAGACAACGAATGCAGTGGGACCTGGAGAGCAACATGTTACCCACCCAGCGCTAGGACCCGGCAGGGTCTTTGTTTGGGTAACATGGTTAGCTCTGTGCTCCGTTTCAACGAAATTAAAGCCCGGTGCTTTGGTTACATGGTTCACGAGCTGCCAGTGTTTGCGTCGATGTTCATCCTTACCCTCTGCCGCTGTCACACCGGCCCACTCGGCCCAGGCAGTCCAGCTTTGACCCACGAAATCATCGAGGCTAGGCACCCGCCGATCTAGAGCAGCCATTACTTTTACTGCGCGTTCACGCACCGCCATCATCACTGCGCGGCAAGCAACTTACGTCATATCTCGCGCTCTCGACATGATAGGAACTTCCTGCGTGCACGTTCACAGAGAGAGAGAGAGAGAGAGAGAGAGAGAGAGAGAGAGAGAGAGAGAGAGAGAGAGAGATAGAGAGAGAGAGAGAGAGAGATAGATAGAGATAGAGAGAGGAGAGAGAGATAAGAAGAGAAGAGAGAGGAGAGATGTTTTATTTTACAAAGTTACATATGACATAATTAAATGTACACAAACATCAAGAGCGCAGCAAAAGGATAACATGTTTCTCTCAGTAGCATGGAGTGAGATATGGATGCTGTTTGTCCGACTAATCAATATCTGTATTAATGAATTGGCCACCATCACCTGGACCAAGGTACGTTTTAACCGTTTTTTTTTTAGTTCTAATTTCAACTAATAATAAAACAGAAACGGGTCGTTTTTTTGTTTTTCAATTTTGCCCCAAAACCAAAAAACGGAAATTCAGCTCGTTTTTTCGTTTTTCTGTTCTTACTGTTAAAACAAGTATACCACTCAATGTTTCGTTTCCATAGGTGGGTGGGTCTCCAGTGCCTCCTTGCTTCTGATTGGCTAGTTTGCCATATGCTTGCGCTGTACTCTTCAAAATAAAGGTTCATACTCTTTGCCTAGACGTGCGTGTTTGCACGAATATACATTGAATATATGGCTACATGCAAAACATACAGAAGACAGTCTGTCCGTGTGTGGGTGCGTATGTGTGTGCGCGTCTGTCGGTCTGTTGGTCTGTCTGTCTGTCTCGCGATCTGTCTATCTGGCTGTCTGTCTTGCACTGTCATGAATCCCTATCTTATAAAGTATGAGTATCTCTCTGTTTGATGTTACTGACACTGCTGAATTGATGCGGCCGTATTTCCCGTTTGCGTGGTCAAGTCAGCATCGAGTTTTTTTTCTTCAAATCTATATTAAAATAGCTTGGAGGTTGAGGATTGATAAATACTATTTAGAGTACTTTTACTGTGTAGGCTACTCTGTCAAACTCCCCTCTTGAGTACAATAATGCATGTTTTCTGCTATCTTTGATGAGAGATAAAATGATGTTCTGCCATCAATTCTTAATGAGAGTGATACTGTTTGACTCAGTATACTAATTTAACTACACCAACAAGTACTTTTTCAGGTATTTTTTTTCAAATTCCCCTCCTTAGTACAAGAATGCATCTTAAATAAAAATGTGTCATTAGACTTATATTGTTGGACAGAGTATTTTAAGAGGATATGGTAGACATGATATCAGCACTACTTCCAGTCAGTACTCCAGCAGCAGCTTGTACCCCTTGGGAAATCTTCAGAGAATATCCTGCATAGCTGGTCTATCCTTCAGCAAAGTGACACACCCTGTCACTCTTGTTGGCCTCTTATGATGATGCTGTCTTAACCTTTAGCAGCCAGCGCCACCATTTGGTAGAGCACATTTTGTGTTTTGATATCTTGTTGAAAAATAAATAAAAAAGTGTAACTCCATCTGATTCAGCCAGCTCTATCGTTTTGGTTGACATGTTATGCACAAAACAACCTCTAGATGTCACTGTGGTTCGAACAGAAAGCCCTTCAGCTAGCTTCCACTGAGAAAGTTGGCATGCTAAAAAACATTTTTGTAACAAGGGTGTAATTACTTTTTTGAAAATATGCTCAACCAACTGGTCGAATTGGCCTTTTATGGTAAACTAGCAATATGACTTTTTCAGAGTTTCAGAGATGTTTTCCAATAAAATATGGTAAATAAATAGCTAGATTCATGGTAATATTACTAAATCTAGTACTGCCTTATGAGTCTCAGAGTGAAAGAGCGATAATAATTTATATAGCACCTTTCATGCATGAAATGCAGCCCAAAGTTGCACACAGATGAGCAAGTTAGGCCAACACAGGATATAGACATTTGCTGTTAGGCCAGTTGTTTGTTGTTAGGCCAAACTTTTTATAATGAAAAACACTTTCCATTAGACTTTTTTCCATTTCTTTTTTGTTTTACAATAATAATTTATTATTTTTTATGAATATATCTGGTTGTATATATTGCTCATCTTCCATAAAAGAAAAAAATGTATTTGAGTTTGTGTTTTATTTGAGTTTGATGCATACAAATGTACTATATGATGATTGTTGACCAGCTCGACCAGTTGGTAGAGGCTCATAAAAACAAAACTGTGTGGTCAGTAAAAAAAATAAAAATGGTTTGTGGTTATTTGTCCTATTTGATAAAAAAATGCAAAGAAATAATTTGTCCATAGATTTCTTCTTGGTCTGGCAATTAAAGGGTTAAAATATGATTATTTCTCTGCCCCTAGTTCGTTCCTCGCAGATTCTTCAGTCTCATCAGCCTCATCTTTCCATCTGTCCCAGTCAACGCATCAGCCTCCAGCACACTTTCAGTGTCTGACTCCATAGAGATATTGTCCTGATGCTGTACATGGGTGATGCCCCATGATCAAAAAATGACCCCTGTAGAGTCTGAGTGCCACTGACCTCTACATGTCACTTGTTAGTTGCTTTTACCTTAAAGCGACTTACATACACTCAATACTGTACAATCCTCACAGGAGCTATTTGGGGTGAAGCCCAGGGACACAACGACATGTTGACTGCAGTGGAGATTGAACCAGTCCCCCCTGATCCAAGATCAACGCACATCAGCCACAGCCTCCCTAGCCATATTATGTCTGTCATTAATAACCCCTTATAACAATTTTCTTTCCTTTCTTCGCTTTTCTCTTCTCTTGACTGAATTAAAAAGTCCAGTCTTTAAGTAATATTTGAATAATCTGCGGCCGCGAGCTGTTATGTGCCATCATGACACGCATGGTGTTCTTTTTTTATATATTATAATGCAGCGCGAGCAGAGATGGGGTCGTTACTAAAAAAAGTAATATATTACATATTACATATTACTTTAAAAAAAAGTAATATATTACACTACTTCGTTACTCTCTACATAAAGTAACTCGTTACTTTACTCGTTACTTTACTCGTTACTTTACTCGCAGGGCCGGCCCGCCCCTCCCTGCAGGCAGATCACGCAGACTGCTAAAGTTTCAAATGTTCTCTTTAGTTCAGTTTCCAATTGTCGCATAAGACTGATCCAGATAGCTCTGACTATGGCTGTCCTCTGTCTCCTGCTATCTGTATTTTGCGCAGTATATCTCTGAACGATGCGATGGTGATTCCACTGTGCAAATGGGCAACATTACCTCTACTATGAAGGATGCTACAAGCCTGTCCATCTCTGCTTTGGTTACCGGTCCTCCAAATTCTCATTTGTGCTGCTTCGGACTCGGCGGCGGCGACTCACAACATCCTCACTCTGGGTTCGGGGGTCCTTAGCTATTAGCTTCACCTTAGCATGTGTTCTTTGCAGGTGTTTGTTGTGAGGTTTGACGTGGTGTTTACAGCAGTGGATAACAGCTTCTGGCCTGGACACAGTTTGCACCTCACCGTCACATTCCTGTCTATTCTTCGGACGAACTCAAAATAATGGGCATACCTCCACCCCTCGAAAGTTATCGCTGACTCAGCCATGTTTATGCAGCACTGCACGGGAGATGTGGACGCGGAAGTCGCGCAGATTACGTACATATAACCTGCGGCGGAAACCCCTCTTGTCTGTCAGTGTGATTATGACTGATTTTATAAATAATACGAAGTAACGCGTGTCGGGGCAATGTTAGTAACTGTAGTGTGATTACTGAATTATAAAAGTAACGCGTTACACTACTCCGTTACCGACAAAAGTAATATTATTACAGTAACGCGTTACTTTGTAACGCGTTACACCCAACTCTGAGCGCGAGCTGTGTGCTCGAGTCTTCCTGCCTGTCGGCTCTGCTCATGGATGTATAATAGGCTCTGCCCGCTCCGCTATGATGGTCTAGCT